AAAATTTATAATTTTCAAAACGGAATTTTTCTGACGAAAAAATAAGAACCCAATTTTAATTTTAGGCAAAATTAAATAAAAAGATTAGGGTAAAACATAATTGAAACAAAATTTCCCCTGTTGCCCACTGTACAAAAGGCAGGTACTGAAAATTAGTACTTTAAAGAAAATCCAAAAAAATCCGATAAGCAATAAATGTGTAAATGCTTTTTAAATAATGTTAATTTTAACAATTTAACAATGGCCCATAAAATACACCATACACGAAATACTTCGAATGACGTAGAGAAATATGACGTCACAAGTAAAACTATCATGGCGGTAAATGGTAAATATCGCGGGGTGAATTTGTGATTTACGTCTTTATCACTGAATATAGAAGAACAAGTGTATCATCAGGTATGTTAACATTTTGCTGGCATATTATTTAATATTTAAAATCATTACCAAAATATTTCTAAATTGTTTTATAAACACCGGATGGTCTTTTTGCTATTTCAATTTACAGGTAAATTTTAAAGTAAACAAAATGAAATTTGTTACAGGTTACTTATAAATAAATTTCATTGTACCATAAGAACGTTATAGACACAACCGTAATCACAAAAAATGATTTAAAAAAATTATTTAGGTAGAAGTCTTGGATGCATTATGTTTGATAGAAAAATCTACGGAAGCAAATTCGGGACATCAAATCAATTATTTGTCGTTAAAATCATCTTATATTTCTCGTCAAAATTGGTCAATTGCATAAAAAATATGCAAGTAGAATGTCTAACAATCAATATTGTTTCAGATAATAGATGAAAGATTGTGTTCCCTCCCTTTTGTTAAATGGATTCAAAAGATGTTTAAGCTTTCCTTCAAACAAGAACGTATGCTATTTAAAAAGGTTGGTATTCTTAAATGTTTCTTTCATTAAAGAAGACAAACAGAAGCAAATTTGGAGTTTTGAGATATTTGAATGTTTGTTTTGACCGCATACATGTATTTTCAAAATTTATGTTTATTTGTTTATTTTGCTGTGTGAGCATGTACTTGAATAGAATTCCAAAGAACTTGAATAATTTGTCTTGACATATTTTTTTTTCGTGAATGATTTCAATATAAAATGATGATAGCATATGGGTTATATATTTTTGTGTCAAAAATACATGGAAGCAAATCAAGTTTGTAATAGTATTATTATATTACTCTTTAAATGAGATGCTTTAATTCAGTCTGAAATTAAACTTAATTAAATGAAATATTTATATTATAAATATGAAAGTTTAATGCCTTGGCAAAGTTGGAATCCATATTGTTTTCGGATTAAATATTTCAGATGAAAGGTTATGTTCGACTATGTGACAAGAGTTGCAATAATTCCTAATCTACACTTAACCAAGACGATATGTTTTCTGAAAAGGTTGGTATTTTAGATGAATTTTTTAGAAATGCACAAAAGTACATAATTACTATGCATTTAAAAAAAAAAAAAAATGTTTAGTTTGTCATATCAAAATATTGATGTCATTGCGGTGCAAATCGGAATGTCTCTTCTATTAAAAAAATAGAATACTTAAAATAGTATATTTCTAGTCAAAACTAAGAAGTAACATTGAAATAATATGGAAAAAAAATTTACTATCATCTTTATTGTTTCTTATTTCAGATGGAAGTTTGCGCACATGTGTGTGAGGAAGGCTGCAATGAATTTTAATCTATTGTTTAAACAACAGTGCTTTTATAATTTGAAAAAAAAGGTTAGTATTTCTGCATAATTTTCATAAAAGAGGAACAGACACTCATAATTACTAAAAACAAAATATTTACAACACTGTCATTGTTTTACTTTATTATATATTATGACAAATTATTTCATTTAATAATTCATTTCTGTTAAGGGATCTATGAGGGCATTTGTGCTTGACTTGTTCCAGCGATGTAGTAAAACTGACAAACTGTTTTGACTAAAGTAGTAATCTGTTTCTGATTTCAGATGGAGGAATGCCCTATTTGCAAAAAAAGTTTAGAGGACGGCACAGCTCGCGTGCGCCTCAGTGAAAAAGGGGGTCATTGGTATTCAAGCTGCCAGTGCATATTCACCAACAGTAATTGAAGTTCAACCTGGAAATTATGTTCATGTCAAGTGTAGGAAGGATCTCACTCGACCTCAAAGAAACTGACTGAAAATAACGAACAAGACCCTAAAAGAATTTTTGCGTACACATACAAATAATTTTGATTTTAAGTCTCGTTGTCTGTTTTGTGCAAATTATGCAAAGTTTTCTTTCAAAGACAAGAAAAACGCTCTCATGATATTTTTCCAGTAAGAACACTTGATTTTCAAAATAAAATTATGGATATATGTCAAAGTAGAAATGATCTTTGGGCAATTGAAATTCATTCAAGGTTGAACCAAGTACTTGACTTACCAGCCACAGAAGCCATATACCACCAAACTTGTAGTGTTCATTTTAGAACTGGTAAAGGCATTCCCAAAACACTAAAGTGAACCAAATACAGGCACAAATGATGACCAGGCAGAAGCCTTTAAAGCGGTTGTTGAATATATTTGAAAATAATGAAAATGAAAGTCTGACAATTAGTGACTTAGTTAAGAAAATGTTTGAAATTTGTGGAGAAAAATATTATTCTGCCAAACATATGAAACGGAAAATAGTAGAACACTTTGGAGAGTCAGTAATTGTGAGCAGTATCGATGGAAAGAATGACATTGTTGCATTGAGAGAAAGTGTTTATTCTATTGTCCATACATTTTACAAAACTTCAGTTGAACTATCTGATGAGGAAAAGAAAAGGGAAATTATTGAGACTGCTGCAAAACTTATTAAGGCTGACATCAAAAGTATAGCCAGCGTCAAAGACAAGTATCCTTCTTTTACTGACATCTCATCAAAGGAGGAAAACCTAAATGTTTTACCAGACAGTCTGAAAGGGTTCCTTGGAAAATTATTTTCTGACAAAAAATCATTATTAAAACTGCAGCAATAGGACAAAGCTTTGATGCAGTCATGCCGACCAAAAGGCTTGCTACCACCTCTTCAACTTGGTCTAGGTGTCCAACTCCATCATCATTTTGGATCCCCGTTTTCTTATAGACAATTTAAACAGCCTTGGATTTTGTTGCTCCTATTATGAAGTGCAGAAATATGAGACAAACGCGGCTGCTGTTCTGTCAACCGATATTTCATGCCAAGAAAGCAGTTCTCCTTTCTTGCAGTTTGCTGCTGATAATGTGGACCATAATTTAGGAACAATAGATGGTCATAACACGTTCCATGGAATGGGGCATAATAGCTATGTCTTCTCCGGGTGCAGATATGTTCTGTGATCGTTCGGAGGATTGATGTATCTATTGATGAAATAGCTGCTCTCAACAAAATCAACAATACGTGCCTTCATTCAGTCTCATTCATCCCAAAACAGCTTAACCTTCAGTATACTACCTGAGAAGCAACCCTCATTACAATGTGAACCTATTGATATGCTATGTAAACTTGTTTGGCCCGTCAGACAAACAAGACCAAGTTGGTCAGGTTTCATGCAGGCATTTAACAAAGAAGAAAGTGAGTTTTATGGGAAATCATCAATTAGCTTTATGCCAATGATAGACCTTAGTCCAAGTGATGAAACATGCATTTTTTCAACACTTCATTTTGTTTGTGAGCAATCTGAAAGATACCAGAAATCTCCAGTATTAACTTTTAACCAGCCACTATATCAAAAAGCAATGAACATCATATTGTCATAAAGGTGTATCGAAGATAGTTTAATGGTACCAATTAAGACATCACTGCCACCTGCTCCAGAGAAATTGCTTAAAGTAATACGCTGTAAATGCAAAACGAACTGTGATACTAAAAAATGCACGTGCCGTAAATATGGATTACAATGCTCTAATGCGTGTGGTGATTGTAAAGGTATATCGTGTTCGAATACACTGACACTGGTAGATTTTCAGGAAACAGACGACGATTAAATGAGAATTTGTACTTTACAAATAGTGTTAAACGTTCTAAGGCATTAGTATTTATAGAACAATTTTCTCATGACTGTGTATGTTTGCATTTACTGCGGTAAATGCTCTTTCAAAACTTTCATTGTGTTATATGTAATGCTACTTCTATACGCTATTTAAAATTTGCTATTTAAAATTCGTGCACTTTTTACTGGATTTGTATGTAAAACATCGGTTATAAACAGAAATATCATATGAACGGATATAATGAAAAACAGTTTCTTTAACAAAAACTAATGAACTGACACTAATGAAAAACAAAATGAAAATTTGCTTGTACTGAATGTATGTTTTTTGTATTATGTCTATTGTATTAATACTAAATTATAGCAGTCATGTAAATTACATTGCGTTGATTACATGCAACAACAGTATATACGTTAGCTAACGGAAACATGTGAACATGTACTCTTTGTGTGATTTTTATGCTTATCTATTGAAGTATTGGTTTAGTATACTTGCTGTCCTTATAGTTGTTATCTTACCGACAAATTTGTCATTATTTGAGCAAATCTCATTTTCAATAGAAAGTGGGTGGGGTAATTATTTAGTATCATATTTGTAAAAAACTAGTGACTATGCAATGTTCACATACAACAATGTGCTAAGATATCATTCTATTGCGTTTTTAGTTGTTTTTATTGAAAATATATTACATAAAACTCTGTTTATATATGCAATAAAAGATTTTTACATAGCAAAGTCATTGACTTATTATTGAAGATAATTTTTAAGTACAAAATTACATCCTGTAATTGAAGGGTCATTATTGAAAAACGGCATGAGCAACAAAGGAGGACTTTTTGCTTATGATTGTACACATATTACTGTACAAAAAAACATCAAGATAAATTCTGTTGCAATTATGTCTAGGTTGGTTCCATATTTGTGTCTCGTTGATTAGCCTAAATATTATATACTAAATAACATTTACCTAAATGAAAATATAACTTGCCAAGTCATATTATGAGGTTGAAGCAACACAGTTGTAACTTGTTTTACATAAAGAAGGAGTTACAACAGTTTTACTACAAATCTTCAATTATTATGACAAAGCAATTAACTAATCTCGAAATATATGTATCTGAACACTAAGCTACAACAATGACTTGCAAATAATCAATTTAGAAATTAAGAATTTAGAAACAGGCCAGTTCTTACTACAGTCTGACCTGACTTTCTAAACTGCAGGCCCCTTGTTCACATAGATTTTAAACATCAAGATAACAATCAAATTCCACTAGAGATTTAAGGATCTGGATCAAGATCAGGATCAAAATTAAAAATGTCAAATATTCCCCATTGTTTATCTTCACAGATTGAATATTTAATGTAAACTTGATAAAATTGGACTTAAAATAGCATGCTTCTGAAATTTTAGAAGAAATATTTTGTAACTTAACAAGATATGGGCATTTTACAGTTGATTAAAATATTGATCCTGATCTTAAAATTGATCCTTAAATATATTTTGATTTTTGATCTGAATATTTCTTTTAGTTTTGTTACTTGTCAATTTTATCACAAAATAGAGTTGTTTCTTTGCAAATCATCAATTTCTTGAATTTTGTTTATGAACCATTTGCTTCTAGCAAAATACGATCAAATTTAGTTTTTATAAAACAATGTAAATAAAAATAGGATCATTTAATCCTTACCCAATCTTTTCTTAATGAACATCAAGCCAGGCCTGGCTCCTAAATATAAGACAAGATTGTTACAACAAAGGTGCGTCTACAGATCTATAATATTATTATTAATGAAAAATAAAAATAAATATCTAAATCATTTAAACAAAGCTGAACCGGAGCTACTCTTTCTAGGATCTGCGACAGCTACAATCTCATCTTTGATCTTCAATACAGCATTTACAACACTCTGTTCTTTATCTGTAACCTGTATATCATGTCCCATCTTTGCCAGACCAGCCAGTACCTTGGCAGAGAAACCCTCTGAAATTGATTGAAAAAAACTTTATTTTAGATTACTAGTATCCCTTTCCCACATGGACATGTGCTTTAATGTATGTGCGACCAGTGCAGATCCAGATCAGTGTGCACATCCATGCAGTCTGTATTAGGATCGCCATTGTTCACTTTTAAATTCATAAAAGAATTTCTGACTGAAAAGCGAACAGTGGGGATTCTGATTAGACTTCAAATCTGGATCTGCACTGGTTGCGCATGCGTTAAAACATGTATCCTTGTGGTAAAAGGTGCATGCCCTCAGATAAGCCTGACTATTTCAAGAAAATCAACCTTGAAAAAAAATGTTTTAAAATTTAAGAAAAGTAAAAATATTCACTATTCAAGAAATAATTTACATGTTTTATGCAATTAATGACTAGTTTTGCCGTATTTATTGCAATGAATAATATAACGCAGAGTAAGGATTTTTTTTGCATATTCTGACATTTTTTTGGTACAAATCTTAGATTTTAGGTACCGTTTGTAAAGTTGAATTATTTTCTTTGTTCACTAAGCAATATGTTACTTTTTAATACATTTCAAAAGTGTTCATGAAAACAGTTGGAATGAGTCCAGCTTTACTGGTGAAAAAGCTGACCTCAGGTGCCCTTCCAAGCATTATTACAAGCACATATAGGCATATAAATAAAATTATAACCCTTCCACAAGCCTCTACCTAGCTTTCACCATACACAAGTAATAATAAGCAATATACAATGATGCCCGATTGATGCCTTTTTTGTTTTACCCTTTCAAAATGAAATAAGAAATGTTATAGAATTCATATGTTTTTATTGAGCCTCTTTAAAAACATCTTTATTACCTTCAACTTCTACAACTTTAGCATCAGGATTGTACAGCTGACTGTGTATCCTTGGTGATGACACAGATTTCTCCAAGGTCATTCCAAAGGTCAAATTGTTCAATAATGTTTGGGCAATTCCTGAAAAACAGATAGAAAATCAAAGGTCATACATGTAATCAATACAACAGGGTATGAAGCAATATCTAAATAAATAATTGTATGAAATATTATAATTGTTAAAAATAATGTTGTTTCCATAATCTTATGGTTGATTTTCAAAAAAGTTGAGACAACTTACCTATCGCTTAACCTTGAAAAAAAAAACAGTTATTGCCAAAAGCTGTTGCAATAGAAGTAGAGTGATAATGTAGCACTTTAGGAAAATCTTTTAACAAGTATTTGGTAATATATGCAAAACACCCATGTAAATGATCGGCACTGAATAAAAATGAGATCTAAGGAATGATGTCATATCATCAACTCAAATTGACATGTTTTTGTAGCACTAGTGAAAACAGTAAATAATCCTATCTGATATGCAAGAAAAGAATAAATTGCAATGATGAGTGAATCCCTGATAAATGAATTAAATGCAATAAAGAATACTTAATAATATAACAACATCAATATAACACAATTTATTGTACATTCCTTGATCAAATGGCTAACAGAAAATGCTATAAATGTTGAATATAAAAGCCAGAGTTAAAACTTATCACATATGTGATATGGTAGAGGTTGAGAAACAAGGGGTTGTAAATATAGTTGTATATATATTTGACTCGGTCAGTCACTTACCTGTAATAATTCTGGAGCCATTAGCCGCCCCACACACCATACGTAGACCACATAGATGTCCCGTCTCATACACTACAGTAGGGGACATACTGGACAGTGGTCGCTTTCCTGGATGTATTTCATTCTATAATAAATAGAAATATAAGTACAAAACATCTGAGATGGTCCTAGAGTGCCCATCAAAATAAAAATTTTTTGCTTGTTTTGGGTTTGTTTGTTTTTTCATGCAAATTTTTACAGATTAATTTTTTGGTCATATCTTGGCAATCAATCCACCTAATTGGCTGTCCTGGATAACTGTTAAAAACCAGCAATTACCCATTTTGCTGTTAGTGAAGTCATTTTTTGTACTAGACAGGGCAGTTTATTTGTTTGTTTGAATGGCTTTTACGTCACATCAACACAGTATAGTTCATATGGCGACATTCCAGCTTTATAGGTGGAGGAATATCTCAGGTACCCTTCCAAGCATTATTTCAGGCACAAATCAGCACCTTAGTAGAACCACCAACATTACGTTAGCTAGCGGGATAGCTTTTGCACATAAAAGAATCCAAAGTCCCTGGCGTGAATCGTACCCGCAGTGATGAGGGGCAAGTGGTTTTAAGTCAACAACTTTAACTACTCGGGCCATGGACACCCCACTAGACCAGACACACTTAGACAATTCCTAGCCTTGGTAAGATTTCTATGTCCCTTGTGCAAAGAAATGATTTAAATAAAATGTAAAAGTATCACAAATTGGCAAAAAATATTGACATCTAACTTTTTTTATTGTAATAATTGAATTGTGAAATAATTTAAACCCTTACCAACACACTTCCTTCCCCTGGTTTATTGAAGTCAGCCATTTCATTGTTAAGCAGTATACCAGAATCTGTTAACACCATACTTCCAAACCAGTCATTGATTGTTCTTTAAATGAAAATAATGATGTGCTTCAAATCTATAATCTATTTTTTGGTTGGGTTTTATGTCACACCAACACAATATAGGTCATATGGCGACTTTCTAGATTTACTCATGGAGGAAGACTTCAGATGCCCTTCCGTGCATTATTTTAGGCACAAACCGCCACCTGAGTAGAACCACTGACGTTCTGTAAGCTCGCTGGATAGCTGACGGACATGAAAGGATACAAAGTCCCTGTTGGGATTCGAACCCAAAGCAAAGTGAAGTCAACAACCTTAATCACTGTATTAAAATGTTATCAATGATGTTAGACCCATATCTAAATATGAAATTTTCAGACAGGAAAGCCCCCTTACCAATAATCAGCAGAACAAATTATTGTTACAAGTATATCTTTACTATATAAGAACATCTATCTATACATGCATAACATAATTTATTGTTCATTTTTTTAACAAGAGGGCCATGATGGCCCTGAAGTCACTCACCTGTATATAGGCCCCAGAGCTGGGCCAGTTTAAGCACAAGGGCTTTTATTTGAACAAACTTGGTAGACACCCATTAGAAGATGTTTCATGCTAAACATCTAAGGTCTAGGTCATTGGGTTTTTTAAAAGAAGATTTTTTAAAGTTTTTTCTTTACACATACATTCAAAAACAATCACATAGCTGGGGCAGGGCCAGTTTTGACCCCAGGGCTTTTATTTGAACAATCTTTGTAGACACTTACTAGAAAATGTTTCATGCTTAATAGCTAAACTCTAGTTATTTGGTTTTTTTCAAAGAAGATTTTTAAAACTTTGCTATACACATATAAGGAAAATCAATGTCCCCCGGGGTAGGGCCAATTTTGACCCCAGGGGCTTTTATTTGAACAAACTTCGTAGACACCCATTAGAAGATGTTTCTTGCTAAATATCTAAGCTCTAGCTCTTTGGGTTCTTTAAAAGAAGATTTTTTAAGTTTTTACTTTATGCATATTGGGAAAATCAATGACCCCCTCAAGAGGGGCCAATTTTGACCCCAGGGCTTTTATTTGAACAAACTTAGTAGACACTCACTAGAAGATGTTTCATGCCATATATCTAAGCTTTAGCTCTTTGGGTTTTTTAGAAGAAGATATTTAAAGTTTTTTTCTTTTGGTTGCCATGGCAACCAGAGTTCTGCATGGAATTAAATTCTTTGAACAATTTTTAAAGGTGACCACCAAAAGAACATTCCTGTGAAGTTTGGATGAAATTGGCTTTGTGGTTTATGAGGAGATGTCATTTAAAGTAAAAACGAAAAGCGATCACAAAAGCTCATCCTGTCACTTTGTGACAGGTGAGCTAAAAATCAGTATTCAAATAGTCAATTGGTTTTTCAACAGTAACCCTAAATTTCTATCAAAATTCAATCCGAAAGTCTAATTATAATCACAAATCCCACGGTTGTCCCTCTATGCATAATTTCAGACACAAGTGACCACTTGAGTTCAACCAACGACTTTCACTATGGTAGCTGAATAACTTCTTCACTTTAAAGAATGTACAATTATCAACAGGAATGAAACCCTCAGCAACAACGGGCAAGTAATTTCAAGCCCGCAAACTTAACCATTTGAAAAGGAGGTCACAGAAGTTATAGCTACTATCCCACACAATGTAATTTGGGCATTTTTAAAATAAAATGTCATCAAAAGATAAAATTTCACCACAGGCTCAAACATTTATATGAAACTAGATGATTAAAACATATCTTGTCCAATTAAAAAAACATCTGAGCAGCGTCATGACAAAACCAACGTAATGCATTTGCAACCAGCATGGATCCAGACCATGCGCAGGCTGATCAGGATCCATGCTGTTCGCTATCAGTTTCTCTACTTGTTATAGAGTTGGTAAGCGAACAGCATTGATCCTGATCAGACTGCGCGGATGCGTAGGCTGGTTTGGATCCATGCTGGTCGCAAACCCACAATGTTGGTTTTGTCATGACACGGCTCAATTCTAAGTAAAGTATTTGCAATGTTTATTTTGCTGTTATTTTTAACAGTTGTAACGTTTTATTTTGTTAATATTGACTGAAATTATAAACACACCCGTTGTTGACAAGAAGTAACTTACGTAGTAACTGAGACCATAAGCTCGGCTGTATCTATCACAGATATATGAGCAGTCCCTTTATCTGCAGGCAATCCAACAAGGTTACCGTAGAAATCAGCGTCCATCGTGACGTTATTTTTTGTCTTATTTCGCAGACGTGTCGCTTCTTCTTTGCTTTAGACATAATAAAAACATCCCATATGATAATTATGCTATTTTTAAAAAACAATAAACCAGCCTAGTCATGACAAAACCAACATAATTGGTTTGCAACCAGCATGGATCAAGACCAGCCTGCCAATGCTCTTTGTTATCAGTTTCTCCTCTTGTAAGCGACAGCATGGATCCTGATCAGACTGCGTGGATGCGGAGACTGGTCTGGATTCATGCTGGTCGCAAACCCATTATGTTGGTTTTGTCATGACGCGGCTCAAATATCTAGAAATATGGGCATGAATATCTTTTTTTTCTAAACCAGCATAAGTTCTACAATTCAAAAAGTTAACTACCTATATTTTTAGAATAATCTTATAATAACTTTATTGTATCATAACTTTTTTTTCTGTAGTACCATATTTTTGGGTTAAAGGATCCAAAACTATCAAAACCATTATTTTTCTGACTTAAACAGACTTAGATACTACTGATATTTATAGACAACATACTACATACATGTATAAATACACAGAATACTGAAGCCAAAAATAATGCTTGTAGTCACTACAATTCTTTTTTTTTATTATACCACCCTGAAATTTGGTATTTCCCCAGTTTTACTTTCAATTTCTCTACCACAAAGTTTTAATCTTCCCTATCCAAAATAAACCACTTAAACAACAGCTGTTGGTAGGACAGCATGCTCGAACATTCTTAGTGCTTAATAGTAAAAAAGACTGAATAATGTAGTTTTTTTTAGAAATCTATGTTAAAGTTATGGGCCTGGGATAGTGACCTTCTATAATGTTCTCAAGTGTGTGAAGCTTCAACCCATTCCCTTTAGTAGTTCTGAAGATACTAAATTGGAACGAAATAACTTTTTTTTTCTCAAATTTTGACGCAAACCCCAGGGTGAGTACAAAATTATAGCTCTTTCTATCCTTCCAATAGTTAACCTTATTTACACTTTACACTCACCTTATCATCACTTTCGTAGCATTATCAATGCTTGCTGTGTTGAACTTTGGGTCTCCTAGAAGTTCTTTCTGAGCATAACCAAACTTAAATGCCTCCAGTATTCTGTGATATGTCTCGTTATCATTTTTAAGAGAGTACCCCTCTAAGAAGTTCATTATGGACAAGATAACTGGTCCGCTCCCTGGTGCCGGTACAGACTCTACTGTATACCCTGAAGATAATAAATAATGTTTGTTTGTTTTATTAACTTTATAACCATCCTATTAGCTCAGTAGCTGTTGGATTGTGAATCTGGAGACCCAGTTTGATTCCCGAACAGTGCAGGTCACTTATGTTGTGAAAGATCATGAAATCTTTAATACAGTCATTCACACTGTAAGAAGTAAAGGCAACAAGTACTGGTAAACTGCTTGACAGCCTGCCTGCCCAGGAAGTATGTGGTGGCTGAACTGCACATGGTAAATTCAAAGTGGCTTATAGCCGTGACCAGGAGTGAAAACTACTACCAACACCACCACTATTAAGTTTATCACTAGATTAACATATTGTTAACAAGTTTTAAATAACTGCCGTCATGTGTCAAATCCACAGTTTCTTAACAAGACATCCTTTATCATGTTTTAATATGAATGAAAGTCAAAACTTAAAGTATTATGTACAGGTGTTCAACGCATTGATTTGTCACTTTTTGCAAAGTTGCCAATCAACTTGCCGAACACCTGTTGTATTCACCACATGAAGCTGCTGCATTGCTTGTTTGTTGATGGATCTTTAGACACACTGTCAGTTTAAAGGTTTTACTGCAACATTCGAGGTTTGGAGGAAACCCTCAGACATCCCTTCATGCATTGCATTGCAGTGGCACCCGAGTAGAACCACTGACATTCTGTAAGCTAGCTGTATAGGTTCCACACATGAAAGAACCCAACAGTGGAGGGCAAGTGACTTTAAGATGCCGACCTAAACAACTTGGCCATTAAGGCACCCAATTTTTTTGGGCCAAACTCTACAGTTCTTTTCTTTTTCTTTTCTTTTCAACACATTGTCCACCAAATTACTTTACCACCAAACCACTTAAAGACCTGATTTATACAAAGAACGGGGACTAGCATATCCCCAGTCCCTATATTTTAGACTACAGTACACAGACTTGGTTTCTTAGTAAAATTACTTAGAATTGGCTTTTGTTATGAAATTATTCACCATCAACAAAATTTTGTTACAGGCACCCATAAACATTTAGTTTGTTCACATGACTTATCTGTCAAAGTACAATATCTCATATTTTTTCAAGTATGGTTTACGAACAACTTGCAATACCTTGGTCTTACAATTTCATCAATACATTGTATAAACTATTTGGTTTAATAGATTAGGTAATTTTCAACAATATTTTCATCAATTTTTTAATATCCCATATCAACAAACTCATAGCCCGTACCCCATCCCCCATTAGGATCCTTGCAGGTTATATCAAAGATAATCAGGCTTTAAGAGGGAAGAAGACTATGATGCTTTTTTTCCTGCACCTGCACATGAACAAGACTCATACCAAACCAACTTAAACAAGAGCCATGTCAACATGGCCATTT